CAAGCCCAAAAACGATGCTAATTTTTTTTCGCTTCGATTTTAGAATCTTCTATTTTGGTTTTCCTAAGCACAACACAATATACACGTAATGGATAAAATATGTAAATCATATACATAAATTAAACAGATGAACGTTAGATGTTTCTTTACCAGTGGCCATTGTAATAAAGTCATTCAAAGAAGTAATAAATTTTACTTTTGATTCAAAATACGCAAATTATTCCAAAATAAAGCGCAGAATTTGCTCTTACTGTATCTTAATGCCAGTTTAGCTTTGTACTAAAACACAGTACAGATAAGGTACATTATAGAATTATAAAAACAAGTTCTTAATGTAAATTTAATACTTAGAAAAATTTAAAGCAAGAAAAATTCATATATCTTAAAAAAATAGTATAAAGCAAAATTACTAGCATTAAGTAGTAATATAATTCTAAAAATTCCATTATGAATCATTATTAGATTTTTTTATATTAAAATATCTTATAAAATATTTAAATCCTAAATTTCTAAGCTTTGTTACATATCAACCTGCAAATATTAAGAACACAGTTTCATGTTATTCATACAATCAATTACATGACAAACAGATTTTCATAGCAATCATAATTTAAAATGACTAAAAAACAGTTTACCTACCATAAAGTAACATTCATCATGCAAATATTATGATAATTAAAGAATACTCCATAATTATTTTAACTAAACTGTAAGGTTTACATTAATTTTTCTAACAGTTAATTTTTTAGTTAAAAGTTACTTTCCTATCTTCCTTAATTTCAGCTTACAACTTCCGGCCAGAACGTATTTTCAGAATCGCGTTTGAATGCAAACGAGGAGAAGAATTTAACTGTGAAGTTCTACTGACTTCGTTAGATATTAGATTAAAGAATATGATTTGAATGGAAAAGTATTAGGACTTTTGCTTTGAATTCTCCAAAGCGGGAATAGGACTTTGTTGAACCTTACTTCAACCCATATTATTACTCTCAACGCATTTTCATTAGTATTAGCGCATTTAAACTTGGCAAATCATTTTCAAGTCCTCATCACAAGAATACAATTTCTTGATATATAATTTACTTCATCTATGTTTTCTCCATCGAAATTGATGGTGAAGCTAAACAAAGCCGTACTGTCACCTGCATGGTGCTCAAGGTTATTGCCAACGACAGACGCAATCTTGCCCTCCTTGCGACGATGAATTTCGTGGGTTTATTCTAATGTGACTTTCAGAGAAGTGAGTTAAGTCATAAGTGACAAAAATATGACATCTAATCATTTGAGAACATACTATTACAAAGCAAGTACACTGATTCTAAATAAAGTGCACGTGCTTTGTAAAGGTTCTAAAGCAACTGTACTTATGCACTGCTAGTCCTGTCTGGGACCATGCAGCCAAAACTCACCTTCAACACATCCAAGTTCATCAAAACAAAGCACCCAGAGAGATTATCAATGCGCCATGGTTCATTCCAAATTCATATATCCACCGCGATCTCAAAGTAGAAACAATTCAAGATTACATTCAAAAACTTGCCAGAAATTTCTTCTCTTCAGTCCTAACATCTGCATCAACTCTCTTAGATGTTCTCCATTTCCCAGAGAAAAGCACAAGTATCCATCTCACATTCTCCATCCTTAACATTTTTTACTCATACCACACTCTTTAGTTCACTGATTTGGACCCTCCACCAGAAACTCACCTTATTCATCGAGTGATGGAAGCCACTTATGTTTCGCCTTTTTGTTTTACCGATGTTCTTCACCTGATACAAAGTAAAAGAAGGCGTTGCTTTCTGAAACTCTAATTCACTATATGTTTTTAGTTAAAAGAGTGCTGTTGCCAAGCCAGCAGCCATTGAAAGTCATGGACCTTATAAGAAATAGACTAACCCAAAGGGGTTTTCTCCCTCGTCTGAGGCGTTGCCGGCTGTCACCTTGATCACATCCGGAGGAGTAGGGACGACTTGCAGAAATTTAACATTGGTTGCCTATTGCAGCGTGTATAATTGTCAAAAAAAAGCTGGTTGTAGCGCCTCATTTCACACATTAGAATTTCTACATATTTTTATTTTTGAAATTGAGATTGATTTTTAAAAATTCAGCATATTTATCAAGCATAATTAACGTTCCAAATAATTATGAAGCTATTGCATGCTTTCAGGGCTGGATATTTCTTTAGCTTTTCCTATGCTGTAAGGAAATTTGTAACTACTTCTTTTAGAAAATAATATTTTAAATCTGAACTAATAGAAAATTTCAAACAAGCAATTTTCTCTTCCAATTTTTATGCTTTTATTGGTGTAAATAAGTAAAAAATACTAAAATATTTAAAAACGAATTTTTGAAAGTTTTGTTTAAAATTCTAAATTGTGTTGCTTTTTTAAAGTTATAGATGAATATTATAGCACAATTTCTATAAGGGAATTTTATTTCAACTATATTTCATAATACATCATAGTGATAAACACTTTTGACTCCTTAATAATTTTTATACATTTAATTCTAATATTAAAATTGTATTTAACCGTAATAATTAATTTTGCTTGTATTTTATAGTGATTGTTTTTTAATTAATTTTTAGTTCTGCATAAGATTTTTTTTTATTTACTGTTAATTTAATTTATTAGCCCAAAGGAGCGGTAGCCTAGAAAGGCTGTTAGTTTCGAAGCCGCATTTTGCGCTGTTTTACTATAAATGTCCGTGTTTCCTTGCAAATTGTTGTTACCAAATATTATCGCCCTGTATTATATTAAAGAATGAACAACCTGCATGAATACATGTATGTTTCTCGCACTGTGACAAAAACGACAGTATCTAGAGCCGTCAAATTTTAAATAATGTAATCCTCCACCCGAACATGGGCATCTGGACGGCTGAATTTCGAATTTGTTTTAATCTATTTCAGATTTTGTAAAACTTTAACGAATTTTTGATTAATAAACTCAACGAGTTCAGAGCAAGCACTGTACGGAAAATAAGTTTTATCTCCAGTGCGGAAATTATAAAAATATGCTGTTTTCAAATGTATGTGGTTTACGGGCGAAGAACATGATATTCAATAAATATAGGTAACACATAAAACTTTAAAAAAAGAGTGCTTCTAGATTTTATTTTATCTTTTTTTCCCCTTCATTATGGTCAGAAAATGTTATGCTCCGAATTTTATGAATTATTAAAATAACTAATCCACTTTAATGTTAATAATTTAATGATCATGTAATCAAATAAATATGATCGTTTTTTAATGTTATTATAGTTTGGAAAATCACTGCCTGAAAATATTCATTAAATTTAAAAAAAAATATCAGATCTTGTTTAATTTTATTTTATTTATTTCAAAGCATCGTGTGCTATCAATCTTATTTAATTTTACTTTATTTTTACGCAAAATTAAGTTCATAAATTTTGTGCTTGGAGTTTTTACCGTTTTACCAAAGTAAAGATGTTTGTACAAGAATTACGCGTGAAAAAAAAAATGCGTGAAATGCAGTAAAAAGTGCTTTAATGAGATATGTTAAATCCTATTTGGAAAAAATTGTGGCTTTCATAATCTCATCACTATACAGTATGGCATTTAATAATTAAAAAGAGTTATGTGATACAAACGCCATAGGTTTCAGTGTTAAAGTAAACCAAATCGTCCCTACTCTTTCTTGCCGACATGTCGGTGACGCGCCCCCCGCCTACTGGGTTGGTCTATTTCTTATAAGGTCCATGTTGAAGGTATGCTGACGAGCAGATTTTTGAAAACATACCTGTGCGCAACTAGTAGGACATTTAACACATCTACCTATCGGCATTGGACGGGTAGATATTACGAGCGCCTGGCCCCAGCCACCACCCCAAGCTCTTATTGGACACGACTTCTGATGTCATACAGTGACGAAAAGAATTCTCCGCGGCATTATTGTGCGCCAAAAGCTTGAACCCGAGGTCATTTTAGCGCTGAAACAGGCGAAGCGATGGGCGATGATAGAATAATTTGCCATATTTGCGAAAAACTACAAAAAGCAGCTTAAGAAATATATTGTTAATATACATAGTATTAGAAAAAAGGTGCAAATCGATGTACAGTCGATAACCGTTTAGTCATTAGATGAATATCGAAGTCATTTGACAATAAACACTTTTTATAAGATATAAAAGTTAAGAAACAAAACAATAATGCATAAAAAAAACAGCATGATAACTCAAATAGACAAAGTCAAATAAACTCTATTATTAGTGCTTTAAAAATATCTTATCACTTTACCTTATTTTTAACCATAAATAAGAGAAATGAATGCCTAGAATTAGAAAGTGAAAAATTAATCTGACTACGAACAATTTTGATACCAAACAATAAATAAAAGGAAGGTTATTTTGTCAACAAACAGTTAATTTTTATCAAGCAATAACTAGCTTTTACATTTATATCACTTTTAAAAACACTGTTCTGCAAAATAAACCGCTAATTCATGAAAACTGCGGCAGACATTATTTACACAGTAAGAGTTCAGTGCTTGACATTGCTGACGAAGCAAATCTTGTTAATGGCCTCCTGCTATATGAAATTATACAATATATTTCTTAAATATCAGTAAAGCGCTATGAATTGCATTGAATACAGATTGCTTAGCCAAACGATATTTACGCATTATAAAGTTTTATCTATTCCATTAACATGATTTAACAATTTATATAAAAAGTGCCGACATATTTTCTTATACTGTTAGGTTCGTTTTAATTGCAAATATTCTGTTACATTGTACAAATTCACATTAACACAGGACATAAACAAATCCAAAGTAGTTATAAGTTTCCCTTGACATAACTCAAACGAAACAGATAATGAAATCTTTTCAGCCTAACGTCATAAACGGCAACCAATAGGAACAGGGGTGGTGGCTGGGGCCAGGCGCTTGTGTAGATATTTCGTATTTTTTTCCTTCCTTCCAGTTTGCACATGCCACAAGCAAAAAGATTTGAAAGCAGCAAAATAAGATACACGTTTATGGTTGTTGTGTAACAACGGGGTTAGTAAAATATGAATGTCTAGATTTGCTTATTTGAAATCGTTTTTCGAAAACCTGTATCAGATCCGAAAGGAAATAAATAGGAAAATAACGTATTTCAGTGATAAAATTTACATACTTTGCATTTGGCATATCCCCACATGAAGGATGTTGAAATATTGTTACATTTTGGTTGATCTGTAGTGTCCTACTGGAATTACTAATAGCGATAACAGCATTAAAAGTATAAAACAAAAGAACAGAACTATTCGTTCTCTAAATATAATGCATTAGAAAAATAATTGATTTAATGTAATCAATTTCTTTCATTTTGTGATGAAACAGATGACGCATGCATAAAAAGAGTGTAGATATTTCATTACTTCAAAGAACATTCTGTTTGCTCTTATTCATTATTAAAGGAAAGCAGTGTGTATTATTTATTTTAAGCTTATATCAGCAAGTTATTCAAATCGATGTTTTATAATCCTGAGATTTACATGAGTGAGGAAATTTATGAATTTCTTTTGTAACAATTTGCTTTGATAATAAGAAACGAATGAGTTGCATGTGTGTGTATTATATTATTTGATAAACGGTAAGCTAATTAAGTACAATAGAATTTTCAAAAAAGTATACATGATGTGTATTCTATAAAAATTCATATGTAATAAGAATCCTATTTTTTGTATATTTATATTCAGTTTAAAAAAACATGGAAACCAATACAGATGAGAGACCATATGAATGTAACGTATGCAGCAAGTCCTATGCAGACAGAAGTACATTAAAGAAGCACTTGTTTATTCACACAGGTGAGAAACCATTTAAATGTGAAGTGTGCAGCAAGCCATTTCGGAATAGAAGTGCTTTAAAGAAACATGCATTTAATCATACTGGTGAGAAACCCCATAAGTGTGATTTGTGTGGCAAATCATTTGCGTGGAAAAACCACTTGGATACTCACATGCTGTTCCACACAGGAGAGAAACCTTATAAGTGCGAAATGTGCAGCAAGTCATTTGCAGTGAAAAGTGATTTAAGCACACACGTGCTTAGGCATACTGGTCAGAAACCATATGCATGTGTAATATGCAATAGGCCATTTGCTCGGAAAACTCACTTAAAAGCACACATGCTTATTCACACTGGGGAGAAACCACATGCATGTGATGTGTGTAGCAAGTCATTTGCAAACAAATATTATTTAAAGAGACATATGTTTATTCACACTCATGAGAAGATGCATATATGTGATATATGCAACAAATCATTTGCACTAGAATGCCTATTAAAAGCACACAAGCTTATTCACACAAATGTGAAAACTCATAAATGTGACACGTGTAATAAGTCCTTTTTACGGAAAAATCATTTAGTGCGGCATATGCTCATCCACAGTGGCGAGAAGCCATTTGAATGCGATATTTGTAATAAGTCTTTTGCTAATAAAAGTCATTTGTTAAGGCACAAGATGATCCATTCCGGTGAAAAACCATATCAATGCGATGCATGTAGTAAGTCTTTTGCTCGCAAAAGTTATTTAATAGATCATAAACTTATCCATTCCGGTGAAAAGCCACTGCAGTGTAATGTGTGTAGTAAGTCATTTTCGTGCAAGAGTCATTTGACTACGCATATGCGTATTCATACTGGAGAGAAACCATATAAATGTGATGTGTGTAGTAAATCATTTGTACAGAAAATTCAGCTGAAAAGACATAGTCATGTTCATACTGATGGCAAACTATTGCTTAATGCTGAGCACAGTACCACTGGGTAACGGAGTGTTTAATTTTGTATGACTAAATAATTAACTAAATGGCACAATATTCTAAATGTTATCAGTTCTGAAATATTTTTCTGAAAATGGAAAATTAGTTTTTATTAAGTAAAACACAAAGAAATGCAGTAAAGTAAAAAAAAAAAAAAAATAGGTATTGATATGTTATAAGAACCAGACTCAGAAATGTATGTATGTACATATGTGCTTATGCACATGCATACATAAACACATACATATCTATACTTCTAAATCCAGTCCTGATAACAGAAAAAGTACACATAATTTTGTGCTTCGTAATTATCTGCACTTCCCTTCCAAGAGGTTGCTGCCTCATAGGCAAATCATGTTTTTCTGAATAAAACACAGAGACATTTTCAAAATGACAATGGATTAAGATTTTCATAAAATAGAAATCATTGAACAAAATTATAAGTGCAGAAAACATTCATGACAAAAACTTATTTTCTCAAGAAATCCTTATATATTTCTCTTTCTTTTTTTTTTTAAGGGGGGGTCACTATTTTCCTCATAAAAATAATAATCTGTTTTCATTTAAAAGAAATCATAAAACTGCAAAACGCACATAAACTTGCCAGTGTGTAATGACCATTATCATGATTGTCCAAGAGCAGCTGATATACTAGTTTCGAGTTTCACTCTTACCATAGCGAATAATTCCAATTCTTCACAGAGCTTCACTGTTGTATCTTCACTTATGTCCAACAATAAATGAAAGGAAAGGTTGTTGTATACAAGATATAGCTTCCAATTTTTGACTCGCATTCTGGCACTTTGATTGCAATATTTCATACTGCATGTTCATAAATCGATTATTTAAAAACAGCCTCGTGGAATGCGGATTTTTGCATTCATTCATTATTTGACAAATTGCTGTATTTCTAAAGAAATGTAATGCTTTCTCTTTAATCAGCCAGCAGATTCCTGTGTTACATTATGACTCTTTTGAAGAGAAAAAAGAACACCTAATGAAAAACAAACGCCTATCACAAAAATGAGAATTGAGTATGGGAAATCCATGTGTACTGAAATGCTCATGTGGTGCATGTATATGCATGCGTAGATTTCCGCATAAGTATATTTTGGCTATATGATGGATCTCCTATTTTGCCGGCATTGTGAATACTTTTTGTATCCCCAAAAATTTATTCAGAAATAATCAAAATTTTGAGTTTAGACAAAGCATTAGGACATATTTGTTGTTTCTGAGATTTAATTGCATGGAAATACGTTTTTTAAGCAACAAACTTTTTTTTTTACATTTAGTAATTTTATTCTCTAATAATATGTCTGTAGTAAAATTTATGTTTATCTTTTGGAAATATAAAAAGTTTATTTTACCTAAAGTGCTCAAGTAAAATATAGACCATGGTTTCATTAATGTAAATAAAATGCTATTTAAAATGATTTATGCATTTTTGTTAGTGTCAGATATTTATCTGCTTTCTTCACATTTAAAATTAAAAATGTCGATATTTATTATTATTAAATATATTTCATTTCATTGTGTATTTTTAACCATTTTACTTGATTTTCTTCTAAAGATCATATTGCACATTAAACATTTCGGAGCTTTTTAGCATAGTTTTTCTGCTTTGTCACATGTTTTAAAACAACCAGTCAGTATAGATCACTTCGAGGGCACCATGTGAAGGGCAAAGTAAATGGTTGATGATGGGAGATTTAGGCTTATTTATTAAAAATGGAGAACTTACAATTTTCTTTTTAAAAGAAGGGAAAAACTGCGCATCTTGCTTCCCCTGGTAAAACAGGCAGAAAAATTGTTTGGAACAGTTGTTCATCTGAAACAAATGGATGTGTGATAGAAGCCTAAATCTCCTGTAGTTTGAATTTTAGAGTTAATACCTGTGGTCTCTATTGTATTTCTATTAATTTATTTAAACTCAAAAGTGATTTAACCCTCCAAGCATTATTATTATTATTATTATTATTTTTTTTTTTTTCCTGAAATTTCATAGTCCCCTAAAATGTCACAAGTTGTATTTTCTTGATTATAATTCCAAAAGCACCATTTTGTACATGGGCTTATTTTTTCCCATTATACATCCAACCCGAAACTGGATTTATCAGGAACATGAAGAAATTTGCATGTGTAACAAATGAGAAAGCCATTCTTCAATATGGAATTTCATGTCCATAACACTTGGAGAGTAAACACATAGATACTTATAAAATTAAGTGAAATTCATCCTTTACTGAAGTTATAAAATGATGCATTTGACTAGCTCTCATTTATCTCTGATATTACATTATCTTTGAAATCTTCAACTCGTAAGTAGTTTATGAACTGTTCTTAGGTGATGTGATAATAATTTTCCCTGATATTCTATTAAGTAGGTCGATGTGTACATGGAGCACAGGGCCAGTTTGCTGTGCAATGCCGAGAATTCTGCAACTCTGTGATACTTTTTTAAAGTTAAAACAGATCACTGTGCACATGGACAAAAGACTGAGAAAATAGAAAGTGTTTTAATTACGGGTGTTTGTTTGATTTTTAGTTTGTTTGATTTGTTACTGTTTTATGAAATTATGAGTATTTTGTTATGGATGTTTGTTTTGTGTAATTTTTACTGTTACATTGTATATGTGTCTTGCATTTTAAATTGATTTAATTTGTTACCTTTTTATGTAACTTTTGGCTCACCACTATTTATTAAAATGGCTACTGGGTAAAAGTATATTTATGGGTACCCCTTGGCGAAAATTGGTGGTACATGGATACTGAGTTTGTGCAGTTCTTTACTTTGGCTTAGTGTAATGGCGATTTTAACGCCAAAAATTGCTGCTACACAAAGACAAAATAACAAGTCAAAGAATTGCACAAACTCGATATCCATGTACATATTGACCTATTTTCACTTGAAAAAAATTACAGAATTGCACAAACTTAGCATTGCTCACTCCCTTGACTTTGTCTATGTACACATTGATATAGTGTCACTTAAAAAGTCAAAGGAGCACCAGTTCTGGTAAAAGTATATTTACGGAACATTCAACTACTCAGGGTACCATAAATGAAATAACAACTTGGCAATAAATGAAACAACAACTTCATGATAAAGGAAACAACATCTTCGCGATCATACAAGGGGTACCCTTCAGTCTACTCTAACCTGGCTACTTTAGGGTGGCAAAAAATTAGTCGCCAATGATTGCCGACCTTGTGGGATGATTCGGCGGATAATGCGACTGTAGTTTCCTTCACAATTTCCTGAAAATAATCGTACTGTTAGTTGTAGTCAAAAGATATTGTTAGGGATACATTATTACCTATGTTAATGATCTCAATCTCAGATCGCACAGGGGCCAAATGCATAATTTTAATGTATCTGACAGACTAAAATTTTTTTGTAATATATTAATTCTTTTTTGTTATTCTTAAGCAAAATAAATTTTTTTATCTAAATTTAAAACTTTATTTACTAAATATTTATCAAGACTTACATAAACAGTAATATTAATTATGAAAAAAATTCAAATTTTTACCTATTTTCTTTTTGAAATCTAAAGGCCTTCAAGAAATTTCTGTTGCTTTATAATTCAAACGTATTGTGCCCACCAGTGGCCAAACGGTAAAATCCGCTGAACACTGGCAGTTCGGTCCGAGCTTCAAGTCCCGGCGAACGGGCTGGCTGCATGGGCGTTTTTGTGGTTTTCCCCATGTGTAACGTGTATACGAGCCAGTTTCCCTTAAAAAGACCTCCACAGGGCATCCCTCCCTTTCCATGTAATGCCTAATGGTAGAGCACGTGTCAAACGTATTGATAGAGCTAACAAACTAAAATTAATTTTCAGAGGATTTTAATATTGAATTAACTACCTAACTTATTTTATGTTAAACTAACAACTAACAAATTGCAAAAAATTTTCAGGTAGGCTAAACCTTGAAAAAAAAAAAAAAAAAAAAGAGTATTCTCTCTCTATCTATCACTATTACTTTTATTGTTTTATGTATATTTGTTTGTATATAAATAATTATAAATGTTTTAATTTCTTAAATGTAATTTTCAATTAGATAAAGTTTATAATCTTGGAGGAAAATTACTTGAAACTAACTGCATCATGAATTCTGTGTACATGTTGGTCAATTTTCATCTTTTTTTTATAAATTTTTAACTATGGGAAGACTCTTCACATGTAAATATACTCACAAACAAAGTGATTATTCTTATTGAAAAAATTTATAACTGAGAGATTTATATTTTGACAAGTAGGAATAAATTTTAATCAGTTTGTATCGTATCTTTGAATAAGATTTATATCACAGTGTTAATTAATTAGCTCCATTTCTAGATTTCTTAGGGCATTACTCATATACATTTTTGGTAATGGAAGTTATGTAAAATTGAACTCAAAGTTATTAAAATCTTGAATTTTTTCCATCTTGCTTGGTATAACAGTTAATTTTGTAATAATACTAATTAACTTATGAGAAATGTATTCACAAGCCATGTGACAGTTAACAATAATTGCACATTATATAGAGTAACTATTAATGTGATTTACTTTATATTTAAACATTGTTCTAATTCTGTACAATATGATGATTAAACTCTTTCTTATTATCCTGGAATTTCATCTATCATATTATTTACAAGAGCTTACCAGATTGTAGAACAAAAATATAGCAAAAATGTATGTTTTATTTTTGAGTAAATATGGTAGTTTACTTATTGTATGGAAGAATAATGAAATTGAGATCATGTTCTATAATCTATATTAGTTCACATAATTCTCTATTCACTCTTAGTTTGTATCACCCATCTACTTAATGTTGTCAGCTTAAAACACAAATGGTCTATTTGTATATAATGTATCTACTTAATGTAAATTTTTCATTAATTGTCATACAGTGTATTGTTAATTCCCTTGAAAAGTTTTAAACATCTAGCTTTTATCTGTCTAAATAAAAGTACAACTGGCTTAATTATATCGAAAAGCAAACGAGTCTTGTTATTTGTCAGTAAACATGCATATTATCATTACATCTTTCTTTAATAACAGCACCTGAAATACTCTTTGGGCTGTGCGATGTTGAAAGAATAGTGTCGCCTGCCTTGGAACTGTCATTTTCCTACTGTATGCTTTAGGCAATGACTTACTAGCAAAAAAACACCCCATTATCATGTTATGTGTGGAATGTCTCAAAAAATTGTATATGCTCATTAATATCTAATAATTTTCTTAATTTTTATTCCTTACAGTTTCTTCCGTACTGTAAAATAATGGATGTGTCCATATTAAGCTGTATTAAAAGATAATTTATCCGAAAGTGCTAATGGAAGTCTTGAAATGCGAGGACAATATAAGAGAAAATTTCAGAGAGATCCATTGCAACTTATAATCATTCAAGTTACAGATGATTTTGAAGCTGATAGACCTAGGGAAAATTTCATAGTTTCAGGAGGGAATGTGGCCAGCCTTATAGCTGTTGTGTCGTTTTAGTTTATGAATATAAAAAACTACTTTTATTCAAGTTTTGCTATTTATTAACATTTTCTATACTTTTTGTTGTTTAATTTATAAAACATGTTAAAAGTATTTTAAATCTAAATAAATGTATATGTAATATTCAAGTCTGAAAAGAAGAAGGAATGATCTTATAGCAATGGTGAACGGTCGTATTTTAATATGCTTTATATTTAAGAATATAATAAATAAACAAAAGAATAATTTTTGTCCAGTAACACAAGAGAAAGGGAATAAAAATGGATATGGATTAGAAGAAAAAGAGATGAAAGTCAATGGAAAAGTTAAAAGATGACTCACAAGCCTTGAAATCACCGAAAGAATTAAGTATGGTAGAAAGATGCTATTTAAGCTGGTGTCTGAGTTAGTTGAGACACAGCGTGTTCTGCTTTTCAACCACGTTGTTTCTCTTCTATTTAAGCTTGCTGTTTTACGACCATGCATAGTAATTACCGGTTTGTCTACATCGGTGATAGGGCCATGAGTTAACTATGCATTAAATATCTGTGTACAGCTTTGACTGATTATTTCACTTAGTTTTAATTTTACATTTCTGTTTAGAATTTGCCGCCGAAAGTACTGGCATAGATTTGTAAGCACCAGGAAATGCCGATTTTTCTTGAGTTGAATAATAGGGTGTTTCGCCCTCTCTGCTTGTTCTTATCGACACAGTTGGACTTAGTGAATAGTCCCAACTTTAATTTAGCTAGAATCTTGCAACTTTTAAGTTATTCTAAAGTATATTGTACTTTTCTGTGTCCTGTATTGGGCCAAAACTTTCAGTAGAGTAATATTCAATAAAATATTATGCATTTATCTAACTCATCCCTTATTCCGTAAAACATTACATTTCCAGTAACTTCTCACCATCTGAGCCATATTAGTTTTAGTTTGGAACTTTACTGTATCTCGCTTTCTGTGTATCCATCCATGACCCATTAAGGAAAATGGCGAAAATTGTAATTGGTTTATTGACAGTTGAACTATATATCAAACGCACTTTTCTTTCAGGGGGGCTAGAGATGTTTTTTTTTTACAGACGAGCAACAATAGTTGTAACCTCACTCGTGCTGCTGATCTTCCAGTTGCTAGCTGTGTGTGCCAGACATATGACCACGTAGAAAAAGCGACAGCTTTATCTGCGGGACACAAGTGTAATTTATATCAGTTTTGTAAATGAGTGCAGTTTTATACTTTGAACTAACACTATATATGAATGCTAGATATATGAGAAACACTCTGTTTCGATATTAAGATTAATGAAAGTTAATAACAACCAAAAATACGTTAGAGATACAGTTTAGTTAAGTAGTACATTCTGATACTGATCAATCATTTTAAATAATATTTATTTCCTATAGCTCAGTTGTAAATACTGAATGAAAGCACTTCTTACAAGATTTTATACATTTAGCATTTGTTATTCACGAAGCTGACTGCATTTCCAAGTGACTGCTGTACCCCCCTTTTTTAATACAGAAATAAAACGTTATTTTGCACTACAATAAAAGGAAACGTAGTTTCATAAATATGGAAATTAAGAAGTGATACGAAGGGAAGTAGTTATTATACTGAGTGCACTTTCTTTTTGTAGGATATTCTTAAAAGCTTTTTAATTCAGAAATTTGTCCCACGGTACTCATTAAAATTTATTAGCTTGGCGAAATCCGTGATGGATTTCTTTTTTGTGAGGTATAATTGCTTCAAAAAATTTTTAACCTCATTTATTTCACGTGTATTTTGAGAAATCGTTATGAACAGCCCAGTCTTTCAGCTGAAATTGGAACCCTTGAGTGCTATTGCGTATTCAATTAAACGAATGACCAAACCTATATAAAACTATAAACATTTGAAATAATATGCACAAGATACGGCTATTTATAATGATCTTGATAATAAATTGTTTACTCCGATCACTTTTATTAAATACTTGAGCTATCAGTTGCTCAGTAGATGAAGATGTGAGATACTAATTATTTTCATTCCGAATTTAATAATTAGCTGCGGAAAGGGCCTCTCTGTGCAATTTATGTCATGTTTCCGATGTGCTAATATATATGCAACCAATTCCTTTTAGGATATCCTTTAAGGAAGCATCTGTCTCTAAATCCCGATCGCTTTGAGGAATTAAAAACCTGTCCTTAATTTATACACGAAGCCTTTCATGTGCATGTTTATTCATATTCATTTAATATGTAATTCTCATGATTGTGCTGTAAACTGCACATTTTATTTGAATTTCGGAAAAGCAAAAGATTTAGTGCAAAAATATAAGAATTCCTGCCAGACATTTCTATTAACAAAGGGAATATATAAACTCACATTCATTTTAAAGTATTTACATTTAGAAATTGTGGTATTAATTTATTTAGCTATACCTGAATTTAATCTAAATTTTTCTAAAAATACGTATTAGGTCTTTAATAATGACATTAACCTGT